AAACCTTGCATGCATAATACACAAGGATCCCACCCTAATGGAAATTTTTCTGGAAGGAGGTCAGGAAGAAAGGCAGTTTGTGGTGGCATCTTTACTTAGTAAAAGTTAAGATAGTGTACAGCTAACTTTTTGGAGGACTCCTGGTTATATGGGTCGTTTTGAATCATTTGTTTCTAATGATTTATATATATATAATTATGTGTGATGCAACTATTATGAAGGAAGGATTATCCTTTTTGGAAGTAAGCCACAATATAGTAACACTTGCAGCCACACGAAGATTAGGACAGAGGCAACATTAAAAGGGTTTTTGGAGATACCTCATGAATGACAGTTCTGTCAAAGCATGCTTCCTGATTCTGTTTTTGTACGTCAGACATACATATAGCTTGGAGGGATTTTTTTGGTAACTTGAATGGAGGAAATTGTTGTTAGCACTTTGGTATGTTGGATATGGGACTTCTCTCATTTGTAATATCATGTATGGTAAGTCCTACAACAGGTCACTATTTCTGAAAGGTATATTTCACATGTTGTGTTATAATTGATATCTATACTTGTGTATAAACTATAGGGTGAGCTCCATGACCATAGAGTTCTTCACTTTTAGATTAGCAACCTAATTGCTGTTTGTTCTAAGCAGAAGGCAAGATGGCATGATAGATTAATTGATTATATACATGGCCAAAGTGGGGCTGTCATGGATGGTTTACATGTGGTCATTTCTGTATTGGTATATGTATAACATTTTGCTTATTATTATTTTTGCTTCTCACATGTAGATGTTGTCGTTGCTGTTTTGCTGTTAGGAAGTGCTCCTACAGGATATTATTGGGGAAACCAGCAATGGGGATGACTCCTCCCAGGGGCATTGTTTGCGATCCATCTCCATCAACCTATGGTGGTTACTAGTATGTAAGATGGAATCAAACAAAGCAAGTTCTATTATGCAATATTTAAATGGTCTGTATTTTGCTGTCATGGAAGAATGAGGCATGTTTAATATATTTCCTCCAAGAGCAAGTACTTGTACTTAGGAATTTAAGTTTGTAAGTTCTGTATTTATAAGTTCTGTATTTACCAAGGATATCGATGCCAATGGGTTAGATGTATATTGTTGTATCTGAACCTGTGATGTGACTTATATATGGTACATGAATGATATTTAAATAGACTCGCAGTTCATAATTGCTTCTTCATAACTACCATACTTGGATATAGCAAGTGCACCTCATTATTTAATTCAGATTTTGTATAACAGCTGTCAATAAACACACGGGTAAAATATTATCCAATGGTATCTAGTCGTTGATGTCAGTAGCTATAAAAGTGGTTGATTAAGGAATTGACAATTAAAGGAATTTCAACTGGAACTTTTCAATACCTTTTATTCCATTCATCATTCAAAGGAAATGCACAAATAAAACGTTATATGCCTAAAATTGGAACTGATTGAGTAGTAATTCCTCCCTAAAGGTACATGTACAATTGCACTCAGTAAAAAAGAAAAGACATTACGTTGGGCCATAGGGAGATGCCTAGAAGGCAATTCTTATTTTACTTAAACGAGACAACCATAACAATTCAAAGTTCTCTTTTTTCATCTGAGTGTATCCAGCACCATAGCAGATAATCCAGTCAAATTCCATTATATACTTGTACTTGGATTACAATATTTCAATGTAGCCCTGAACAAGTTCCTCCTCTGATGCTCCTCTGATGCTCCTTAACAAGTTGTCCAGCGAACCAGTAAAGCATTTGGAAGTTACTCTGCTCCCCAATCCTCTTTCCTCCGAAGAGCACTGTTTCTACATTCTCCTGCTTCAACATCTCCTCTGTTATTCCAATCAACATCTTTACATTGCTGGGACTTGAATCTGTATACACATTAGGTCCACATCGCCCCATACTTTTGGATTAACCTTTGCAACGAAGGCAACGATGCTGGTACACGGAAACCATCCGTTTTTACCGCATTCATCTAAAAACCCAACAAGAAGAGAGGAAAGGAAACAAATCAATATCAGAACCAAACATTAAAATGAATATCAAAGAAAAATTTATGAAGAAAACTATGCTTGATTAACAGCTTATAGCATGAAAGGGCATTAGCAAGTTGCTTAGAAGTTTAACATAAGAAAACAACAGACAAACTAACAAATTTTGGCCAAGGCCTTGTTCTGTAGGAAACCACATAGGAGAAGGTTGGACCAGAAAAGGGTAAGCACCAGCATGAATCCCCATGGATGTATGAACCCACTAAAGATGCCTTTGATCGGAGAATTGAACTCATTCTGGACCCTGTAATGCGTTAGCAAGAAATTTAATTACATTATTAATTTAATTATATCACCAAAAAAAGACAACAACAACAACAGTTCCTTCATAATTTGAAAATTGCTAGTTATAGCAATACTACTGTGGTACTTAGGAATTGGCATTTTTGTTTATGCCAGTTTACTACAGATTGTTGAATCAATCAAAGATCCCTGTGTTACAGCTCTGTGCCCCAAGCAATCACAGCGGTTTTGGTAACCTGATCGTGCTACAGACACTTCTGTTACAGCTCTGTGCCTCAAGCAATGCTTGCCAACTGCATCACAAGTCAGATCACACAAATCACATAACTCAACAAGGACACACAATATTCAAACCCATACCAGATACATAAACAAAAATACTTTGATATAACAAAATTCCAGTACTGGTTTGTCAAACAGATTTGCTCACGAACATTCCACACACCATGATTCTTCTGTCATTACTCCTCTGAACCTGCACACTGCAGTTGTTGAGAAGGTCCAAGACAAATAATTACGGCACAAAGTCAAAGAGTGGGATGGTTAGAGGAGGACAAGCTCAACAATAAATTCATCAACTATGCTCATCCGCGTGGTCAACATAGGCAGGTCAATAACATACGGTTGAATAATTTTCTGCTACTTAACCACTCCACATTCATAATTCAAAATTCAAAAAAAGGAAAGTCAGTTACATAGGTTCTTGCTGAATGACAAGTCTACATACCATGCTGTCAGACATTAAGTTTACAAAAGGCAGCATTGCACAGCTCACCATAATACATATTTTATATCTGACACACAAATCTAGTTCTTATATAACTGGTACCCTATTGCTAAACTTTGAGTAATACACAACACAACCAAAAGCTTCAACAACGTGTCCTTCTTAATGCCATTGATGCACGTCGGATCATCAACCCACTCAAAGAAGTTGCACTTCTCATTTGTTGAGAAGTTTGGGCACCCAAGGAACTTCCTTCCTGGATTTCTTTATGTCAGAGACTTACGCAAAACAGCCCTCTTACCACACCCACACTTTGTCACCCTCGATGACGATGAAGATGCGAAATTGCCCGAATAAACACTTTCATACCCCCACTTACCAATCTCACCTCCACCCATCTTTTCCCCAAGCTGAAAGAGTGTATCACACCCGATACAATCAATATTCCCCTACAACAACAATAATACAAAAATATGTCAGTCCATATACAGATACAAAAATAAGTTTAATGCACCTAAATTCGCAATCTTGTCCTACACATTGAGGTTACCGTAGTACATTCTTCCCCCTCCAGGACCATGTATTGTTCATTCATTTTTTAAATGCCATTTTTTTTCGTAACATCCAGTATTTAAAGTATCAACAACCTAATTTTTTAAACATTGTTAACCAATTCTTCATGATATTAAACTTGAAACTATGAACCGAGGATGCTGGTATATATCCTCACAGTCAGACGTGGAACTATTTGACACCGCTTGTCGTAGGATCCCTTCACCTCTGCATGGTCAGGTACTATAATGGCCTCACAAACCTCGAACATGCAATGTGGAAGGAAAAATAATAAATTAAAAAAAGTAAAAAATAGGTTATTGAAGATGTCAGCTACTTACCGACTGATATATGAAGCTTGTCTCCAACACCGGTCAACTTCTCCACTCAATGAACCCTGTATAGTGTCTTGTTGCAGATCTCTGTCTCCGTCAACCCTTAACCCACTATGTCTTCAAAACGCGCAAACGGGAAGAACAGAGCTGTGTGCAATCCGATTTCAAAATTTCCCAAATCTGGAATAGGAAGTAACTCACACAACACCAACTTTCGAACGTTATCTGAGGTCAAATCGATTAATTACTATATTTTAATGACAAAGTAAAGGTGGGGTTATTTTTGTAAAATAACCCCACATTCCTACTATTTTTAACAATCAACCAAACATCAACTCAGTAAACTAACTCAAATATTCCAGGGAAAATTTTGTTCAACCAAACACACTTTTATAATTTTTCCGCAAAAAACTATTCCAGCCAACATTCCTGCAAAATTAGTTAACTCAAATTCTCCCGTACCAAACGCTCCCTGAATGTTCAAATATAAATTTTTTTTCCTGAGTTTGCTGCTAGTACGGTTTTGGGCAAATCGCTTTTGTGTCTCAGAGGATAAGCTAAGCCTTCCTTTCATGTCTAACAAAGAGATTATGTTTCAGTGGACAAAACCTAGGGCACAATATGGAAGGTAAATTTTTCTGAAAATTCATGTTCCGTTTTCTCACAAAGCAGAATTCCTCAAATTCCACATTTTCAATGGCATTCTACATTGGGATTCTTATGTGTTATTTCAAATTATGGAAAAAAAATTCCAACCTAATTTTAGGTGTCTGTGTACCAAACACGGTAATATTATATTGCCATGTTAACTTTTCTCGGAAAAAAAAAATATCCATTTACCAAACATTACCTTAAATAATACATAGGAACTAATATAAGAAAGTTTTTTTGCATGTATATAAGAAAATTAATAATTGTAAAAAGAGTTTAGAAAGAAAAAAAAAAAGGAAAAGGGATAAATTTAGTATAAAAGAACAAAAAAAATAGTATATTAAATAAAAAAGTAAAGAAAGTGAACAATAGTTGTAAAATGCGACAAAGCTACCTCGAATAGCTCACTCTCCCAATCCACCGTTCATCTCTCTCTCTCTCTCTCTTCTTTTCTCTTTCTCTTTCTAGTCCTCCTTTTCTATCTCTCAAGTCTCAACGAGAAGAGAGTTCGATCAGAAAAAAAATAAAAATTACATAACACAAACGCGAATATCAATAATCAACGACATAGATAAAACAAATCTGAAAAAATACATCAATAAAATACAATCAAAATATCTAGGGTTTCAAAATCATACATTCCCTCTATTTTTCTTTTTCTCGTTTTCTTCAACTTTCCTTCCCACCAAACACCGTTCCCGCTTCTGCATTCTTTCATCCTAAGAAAACAATTTCGGATGTAGCAGCACCTGGTGCTTTCCCTTTTTCAATTTTTATTTCATTTTTTGTTCCCAATTTTACCTGGAGAGGTTGAATTTCCGGGAAAATTGACCTCCATTTTCTGCTTCCTGCAACCTTCGCCGCCGGCTGCGATTGACTCGTCAACGACGAGTACTTCAAGGTGGGTTTTTTTCTCTCCCTATTTCTGCATTTTTCTCGATAAGGTTTTGAGCTTGTTTCGCAAAAGTTGAAATTAAAAAGAATCGATTTTGAGTTCTGGGGTTCAAGTTTATAACTTGGAATATTCTTCTTTTTTCGTCATGTGGGTGCTGTAATTTTTTTTTATTTGAAAAATCTTTTTGTTGATTGTTTGTTGTTATTACTTATTAGGTTTCACGTTGTTGTTTTCTCTTTGTTATAGGTGTTTTTGTCTGATTGGTTGATCCACTGGTGAAAGTTCTTGGCATGGAAGGAGGGGAAGGGAATGGTTGATGGCGTTTGTAATTAATGCTCACTTTTGTCCAGTTTTTTTATTTGTTGAAGCCATTTGTAAATTTTTGATTGGTAAAAGGGTTTGAATGCATTTTGATCTATGGATTTGGAAGCAGTTCCATCTTCCATGGATTTGTTGAAATGTTGCAACTGTGGGTGTAGTTGCTGCTCCTCTCTAGCTCAATCTTTGGACCCTTGGATGCGTTCCATTAAACGGAAGCATGATGAGCTTGAACTGGATAGCCATTTGTCTGAACCTGCGGTTGCACGGGTTGAAATCGAGAACGAATGCGCAGTCTTACGTGAGATGGTCAGCAATCAGCAGAAAACTATGCAAGATTTAAATGCTGAATTGGAGGAGGAGAGAAATTCTTCATCCACGGCTGCAAATGAGGCAATGTCAATGATATTGAGGTTGCAAAGGGAGAAGGCAGAGATTCAAATGGAAGCACGTCAATTCAAGCGTTTTGCAGAGGAGAAGATGACACATGATCAGGAGGAGCTTTCATCGTTGGAGGATTTTTTATATAAGAGGGAACAGATAATTCAGTCACTAACTTGTGAAGTTCAGGCTTACAAGCACAGGTTGATGAGTTTTGGGCTCACTGAGGCCGAGGCAGAGGGTGATCAATATGAACTTCCAACCTATGAATACCCTCCTTTGAAATGTAATGTGGTGCATGCTACCATGGATGTTGATAATGATGACACAGATATTGAGAAAAATGTATTCGGTGAAACTCCTAATGACCGTTTGAGGAACTTGGAAAATAGGATTTCTCAAATGGAGAAATGTCCCACTCTGGACAAAGTGATTGTTGGACAATCTCCAAGTCGAACTAGACATTCCAGAAAATTTTCCTGTGACTCAACATCATCATTTGGTGGGATGGGGAGAGAAACAGGTCCTGAAATTCAGACAGATTCTCCCATGCTCAATAATAACTACAGAAAAGATTATTTCTCACAGTCAGAGGACCATTCGAATTTGAAGAAGGTGGATAATGCATCAGAAGGTGATGATATGAGTGATAGAATTTATACAGTTGACTCTGTTCATTGTGGAGCACCATATAATGGTTTCACAGATTCCAAAGCTGGAGCTGGTGTTTTCGAAGATTATGCAACCATTCCAAGGGAGTCAGGGAATCATGCTGATCTTGAAGATCCCTACATAAAGAAGCTTTACATGAGGCTTCAGGCACTTGAAGCTGATAGGGAATCAATGAGGCAGGCAATCATTTCAATGAGCACAGACAAAGCACAGCTTGTGTTACTGAAGGAAATAGCTCAACATTTAAGCAAAGAGATGTCACCACAAAGGAAAATGACGAGGAAGCCTTCTATTGTTGGCACTTATGCATTCTTCTCAATTTTTAAGGTAATCTAAATGGTTTCTACCAATGAAATGCATGTGTTTCTGCTATATATCTGATGGGATGGATGCATCCTATTTAGTTTATCCATCTTTTAGGTTTTAGCTCAAGCTTACATTCGGATAATTTCTTCTTTTCATTCTGCTTATCATTGCTTGTCCTTCAGTTAAAGTTTTATAGCACAAGTCTTCCATCAAATCTAGTTGGCTTTGCCAAGTTTTTAAAGATGCCCTACAGGCTAACTTATGAAGTGAATGCATATGAAAAAAAAAAAATTCATTTAACAGCAGAAATATTTCATGTTGACTGTTTCTCCTTTGTTCTCTCGGAGGGTGCATTTTTTTCCTCTCTAATGGTTTGTTGATTATTCTAGTCATTTGCCTTTGAATATCTTAACCCGAAAACAACAACAAACAAACACACACACACACACACACGGAAAAAAAAATATATATATATATATATATACTCCATGCTACTGTGTGAGAGTCATCTGGCAATGCATGCAGTTTTTCGCTGATTGCATATTGAAAACATGCATACACTTCATGAAAGATTTTGAAAATAGCACTTACACCATTTCATCTTTTTTGTGTTTAGTGGATTACATCAGTTGTTTTATGGAGAAAGGAAGCTCATGAAAGCAGGTAAGTAGCATTTTTTTCCTGCTCAAAATATACTTTCAACCTGATTTGAAATAATTTATAATTTTGTTTGTTATTAAGTGTGTAGTCTACTGAAGTGAGAGCAAAATCAGGCATAATTCTCGTAAATCATAACCACCTCACCCAGAAATCATTTAAAAAAGAAGACAATCCTTTTAAAATTCAAGTGGCCTATGCTGATAAAGCATAACTCTTACAATAAAATATTAAACATTGAGCCATAGCTTATTTGCCATTGAAACTAAACTACAGCGGGCTTTGATTGAATGATTAAGTATACTTGACTTGCATAGGATTAGATGTTTGACATAATCATAAATTCATAATCTCCTCTATAAATTAGCTTGAGAGCGAGTCTTGAATCAGTGGTAAGGTTGATTTTTATGTCCGAAGGTCACATATTCAAGCCTGGAAACAGTCTCTTTGTAGAAATGCAAAGGTAAGGCTGCAATGCATACAATTGACCCTCACCCTAATCCTTGCAAATTGGTGAGCCTTGGGGCTTGCCCTTTCTCTATAAATTAGCTTCTTTTTTATAACACGGACAATATCAAGTCTTTGAACAATATAGAAAAATATAAGTTTCGGGGGTGGGGGGAATTCTTTTATTACTTGTTATGAAACTTTAGGTTGTTTCTGAGCATTGGTGATTGCATATTGATGCAGTTCCCTCGAAGCTTAGTCATTTTATTCAAATAGCAATTTCACTGTGATGATGTCTGTTAATTATGCTTCAACGTTTAAAACACAAAACACATGCCCTATGAAACCACCCTATTAGAAATGTTAGTATACTTCACTTTGATGATGTCCGGTAATTATGCCGATATTTTTTATTGGGTGGTTTCATAGGTTACGTACAAGGGTAAACCCCCATGTACAAGGCTCCTCAACTTGCGAATGTAGCGGTGAGGGTCAAGTATATGCAGCCTTACCCCTGTATTTTACAAAGAGGTTGTTTTCCATACTTGAACCCATGACCTTCTGGTCATTAGGAGCAACCTTATCGTTACTCCAAGGCTCGCCCTCTATTTCACAGGTTATATGTGTTTTAAACCTGGAAGCAAAGAGAAACATTTGTTAGGGATATCCTTAAATGATGATCCTTGACAAGAAATTATCCATCATCTAAAATGCTTGTGACTGCAGGTATAAGTTCGGGGTACCTGCTGACAGTGCGGGCTTGCTGCTGCTACTGGACAACGGACCACTTGCAAGGACTTTAAGATGTATTTCAAGTACACAAGTGGGACATTGATTCTGCAATTCTCGTGTCTAATGTGGGAGCATCAACTGAATTTTAGTAACACTACTATGATAAGATTTTGCCCCCCAACAAAAAATAAATAAATATTTTTCGCCGAGAAAGTGGTGTATTGTGCAGTTTTCTTTCATTTCTTTTGTATGAAATTGAATGAGTTTTGTTGGTTGATTGGTGAAACTTGGATATGATATGACATAAGAGCATTTTCACTTGTATGCTTTGTTTGAGTTGAGCTCGAGGTAATTCTTTGGACAATCCTCTCTTGTACATGACACATTGCTGTAAGTTTTCTTAAGCTTCATGCAATGCCAATTCTCAACCTCAATTCTACTAAGTGCAGATTTGCGTGTTTGAGTGTTGCACATTCAGAGTACCTTAACTTCCAAACCCCCACATCCAAATCTTCAGTCTGAAGGGATGGCCTTGCATATTATATTATTTTATTTTATTCTTTTACATTTATCATATTCATACATGATTGGTTCTTTTTTGTAAAATAAATAAATAAAAACTTGTCGTGTCCGTCATTTTACCAATAATGCAAATTTTCAATATTAATTAATACGTATATTTTAAGAGGTCAAAGATCAATCGCTGAAAATGCCTATACTTTAGGGTAGCTTCCTGGATTGTGTGGAGAATTTAATTATCCGTAATTTTATGCGTAAGAGGAATAGAACTTTGACCGAATGTCCACAAAACGGATTTGTAGCTGCTCTTTGCTTACCTTTTCTCTTGAAGTGTTGACCGTGAGGATAGGTATGAAAGAGGTTTCCACTCTTGTATGGAAAGAACTCAATATTTGACCAAAACTGAGGGACGTGAAAGAATTGCCAGCCCCCTGTTCGATGTAAGTTATGATGCTTGAATTTTATTAGAGGAAAGTGAGAAGGTAAAAGAATAAGAACAAGAATATATATATATATATATATATATATATATATATATATATATATATATATATATATATATAGCATAGCAATTCTATCAATATCCAATGATTTATTGAATTTTTTTATTCAATCTTATAAAATTTCTCATTTTTTTGTTTTGGAATAAGAGTGTAAGAATTTTTAATTTTTTTGTTTTATCAAAAAACGTAAAAGAATAAGAATATATATATATATATATATATATATATATATATATATATATATATATATATATATATATATATATATATAGCAGGATCCTTTGACACCGGTGTCAAATTTGAAGTTTGACACCTCATCTGAAAGCCGTTAGATCAAAAAAGATCAACGACTCTGATTTGTAAACATGTGACACCATTGATCTTTTTTGATCTAATGACCCTCGGATGAAGTGTCAAACTTCAAATTTGACACCGGTGTCAAAGGATCCTACCTCATATATATATATATATATATATATATATATATATATATTGGCCTCTCCCCTCCTTTGCTGGTTTATGCAAGGATAAGTGGATTACCAAAAAGTGATAAGTACGAGACATTTAATTTTTTTTTTAAAGGACCATTTAAGCAAGTATGATAATTTAATTCGGAAAGAGCACGTGAAGAGTGAAATATATGAGTTTGAGATAAAACTGTCTTGAGTATTAAGTTAGCAAGAAACTGAGTGGAAGCATGATGAGGGTTGTAGTTGTGACTGAACCCGAAATACACAGTTATCAGGGTTCGAATTTAAGAACTGGTTAACTAACCTGAAATAATCCCCTTTCAATTGATTAAGGAGCTTGGTGGTGCTTGTATGATTTTATTTTATTTTTTACCTTTTGTCTGATTTTTGTAGACGTTACACTTGCATCACCTATCCTAACTGGCTCTATTGTGTTGGGACGAACTCCATCTCGATTAAGGAACCTTAGTGAAAGTCAAGCGTTGAGCTCAGAGCTTGGCATAATCAGAGAGGTCGGCCTGAACTCACCAGGGCGGCCTATACACAGTAGAAACAAAAATTATAAAGGGGAGAGAGAGAAAGAGAGAGATGAACACAACAAATTTTAACGTAAGAAAATCTTTTCCAATGTGAAGAAGTAAAAACCCATGGACACTAGTCCAGAATCAAATATCCACTACGAGAATAATGGGTTACAAGAAATTAAACTTTCCTAGATACACTAGAGGTACAATCAAACTTCACAAACATCCCTAAAGAGGTCTAACACTCAAACTTCTCTCTGGAGGTATTCCAATATCTCTAAACCTCACACACTATAAGCTTATACAGAGGAGGGAGAAGATTTCAGATCATCAATTAAGGAGAGACATTGAACAACTCAAAGGATGTGTCCCTTGAGCCTTGCACCAAAGTGGAGAGTTGCAATGCCTTAGGACTTGAGCCAAGCGTTGAAGAAGAAACAACTCATAACAAATCTCCCCCTTTCGACTTCAATGCGTTGAGTTCAGCACCAGACCGGTACCTTCACAGTAGTCTTCGAATTTTCTTGCTGGTACCGGTTTCATCTTCATATAGGACGAATTCAAGTCGGTGTGCACTTTGCCAAGTCCGAGCTATTCATCCTTCATCACATCCCGCATCCAGTGATACCTTACGTTAATGTGCTTAGTGCGGGAGTGATAGGCCGAGTTCTTCGCAAGATGAACTGCGCTTTGGTTGTCACACTTCAACTCGTACTTGTCTTGTTCATGGCCGAGTTCAGAGAATAACTTCTTCATCCACAATATTTCCTTGCAAGCCTTAGTCGCGGCTATATACTCGGCCTCGATTGTCAAAAGTGCCAAATATTTTTGCAATTTTGATTGCTAGGAGATAGCTTCTCCTACAAAGGTCATCAAATATACAATCGTCGACTTCCTCGAGTCGGCATCTCCCCCTAAATCAGCATTCGTAAAGCCTTGCAACTCGGCTTTACCTTCTCCAAAGTGGAGGCATAAATTTCATGTTCTTATGAGATACTTGAATATCCACTTCACTTCTTCCCAATGTTCTTTGCCGGGGTTAGACAGATATCGGCTCACCATTCTAGCAGCATACGCCAAGTCGGGTCTCATATATACCATTGCATACATCAAACTTCCGACGGCGGACTAGTACGGGATCTTCAACATCTCGTTTTTCTCTTTATCAGATCTCAGACTGCTTCTAGTTTAGCTTTATATGTCCAGATAAGGGGGTGCTTACTGTTTTGGCTTTGTCCATGTTAAATCTCGTCAAAATCTTCTAAATATATTTTTCTTGAGTCAGCCACATTAGTTTTCTATGTAAGTCTCGGATTATCTGGGTTCCGAGGATCTATTTTGCAGGACCGAGGTCCTTCATTGCGAAGGATGAGCTCAATGCCTTCTTCATGGCGGTTATCTTCGACTTGTCTCGCCCTACAATCAGCATGTCGTCAACATAAAAATCACTCCCTGTTAAACCCGACTAGCGAGTATGGGGTGGGGAAAATCCTTGTACGCAGTCTTACTTTGCATAATTGCAAAGAGACCGTTTCCTGGATTCGAATCCATGACCTTTCAGTCATGAAGGAACAGTTTTACCACTGCTTCGATTTATAAGAGTAAAATAAAAAAATCTCTAGCTTTATACCTCTTGACAAATATGCAGTGGTCGGCTTCAGTTTTCATAAACTTATGATCAGTCATGAAAGATTCAAACCTCTGGCGAGGTGCTTGTTTTAAGCCGTATAGGCTCTTCTTCAAGCGGCAGACCAATTTTTCTTGTCCTGGAGGAGGTGACGAACCTCGCATTGGTGAATAGAAACCCATGAAACCATCTGGAGCGGCTGGGGATTAGGATTAGGTTAGCCTCTTTGGAATCAGACAATGGGAGCTCGGGCTTCAGCGGTGGTGGCGACAGTGGTTGTGGTTGATTCACAAGAGGAGGAGATGGAGGTGCAGGTGTTTCAGCAGAGGAATAGGGAGGTTCTGCAGCTGTGCCCAGAGACTTGGTTGCCATCAATTTAGTTAGCACTTGATCCCTTGGATTGGAGCACCGAGCACCACTTAAACAAGCACACCTAGAAATTATGTACACCACAAGTAGGGTTGTATCGTAAATATATTAGGCTAGGTTATACTTTGGTTTAAAAAGATTAAGTCAGTGTAAAAAATCTTAGGTCTGGCCTATTAGTTTGTGTATGCCCAAATTACATGTCTGATCTATATTTAAAAAATATAAACTTTTTTTTGTAAGTAATGGAAATAAAAGTTACATAGAGCAAAGTCTAGGGTGAGTTGCACCCAGCAGATCCATGTTCAACAAGGCGATACAAGGCAATGGAGGCACATGCAGTACATGTAAATTCCAGTCCGAAAGAGAACTTCCTAAAGCTGCAAGCTTGTCGGCAACCATGTTGCCCTCTCTATAGGAGTGGCAAAGCTTAATGTCCCATTGCCCCTGTAACAATCTCCGGATACGACAGATCAGAGGGGCTAGAGGGTGAGGCCTCTCACAACCCTTCAAGATAAGGGTAACCGCCAAGAGGGAGTCCCCTTCGAATAATATTTTTCGAAAACCCAAAGTCCATGCCACTTCAACGCCATGCAGGAAGCCCCACACCTCCGCTCTAGAGGATGAACCCACCCCTAGATTTCTATAGAACCTAGCCAACCATTTGCCGGAGGCATCACGAATCACATCGCCGCAACTAGACCTTCTACCACCAGCCGTACTGAACCCATCAACGTTAGCCTTGCACCATCCATTATCAGGAAAATTCCAGCCAATGAATCTCCAATTCTTCTCATGACTTTGCAGGCCATTATCACAAACAATATTGCGGGCACTAATCATATAGACCTTTGCTGCTCTCACAACAGACATCGGTTCTGAAACTTTACTCTCAAAAACAAAAAGATTGTGTTTCTTCCAAATGAACCAGCATAAGACACCAAAAATCTTCCTCCAAACAAAGCCTTGGATATTCCCTGTGCACCTGAGGTTTAATTTCATCCTTATGTTAGCAGTAACATTGAAAAAATCAGGTAAAAAATACTCCATTAAATCATTAAAAAGAAAAAAAATGGAAAATTAAAAAGAAAAATCATGCCAAAACCCTAAACCCTAAATATAAACTTTGGCTTAGGCCTATAAGCTATTAAATATCAGATCATTACAAAAAATAATATTATTTTATTATCCATAATTATTAGGATAATAAAATAATATTTTTTATTTATTTAAAATAAATAATATAATATAGGCTGATAAATTTATATGCTCGACATATACAAAAAGGCCTGGGGCCTACTTTCTAAATATGTTTTTTTAAAAGCCTATATCTGTATTATTTGACTATTTATAATAGGCAAAGTCTGACCTAATATAGACTAGGTCATATATCTCTATAGGTTAACCTACCCCATTTACATTCCAAACCACAAGCATGAAACAATAATTTTTTTTAAAATTTATTTCAGATTATATGAGAATTATGTAAATAACATTTTTGAGTGACATCTTCAAGCACACCTACTAAAATAGGTATAGCTACTTAAATTTTAAAACCGATTTTTTTTTTTTTATTATAAAATGATTCTAAATTTTATTTTTACTAAAAGGGATTAAGAACACTATTTTACTATGAAAAACTTTAGAATGAAATTATCTTTCTTTAAAATAAGAACCACTAAAATTTTGGAAAAAACTTATTTACAAAAGCTATACAAATTTGATTCCGATAATTATTTTCAAGTTTTCCTATAATAATTGTAGTTCATATGAAATTCTCCGTATTAAAATTATCATTTATTCTTTAGTCTTTACACATTTGTTGGTGGTCATCCATCAGAACTCCAATTTATTTACTTATATTTTATTAATAACTTTACCATACTCCTAAATTTGTGCATAAATTAATATGTGTGTTTGATAACTAATATTACCTACATATGTCATGCTTTCAATTATCAACCTCTGTGCGGGAAGATATACCAACAGCTGGAAAGTCTATGCATTCTTGGTGAATTAATGCTAGTTAAAACTTGAGTAATTCCTTGTTCAAGTGTTTTTCAGTGAATGTTAATACCTATATATTTGAGCTTTCGTCTTGCAAAAGGATAGCCATCAAAGATGGCTGTTGAGAAGAAAAATCTTACTTCAAGTATAAATTGAAGCACTCTTTCAATCACATGAAAATTAAGACAGCATGAAGTAATTTGACACGCGTGACAAGTATAACACATGTGACAAGTAATTTCGATGCTATTTCTGCCACTTGTTTGTATTTCTCATCATATTTCTTTCCCAATGGTACTACCTGTAACATAACACCACCAAATGAGGGCTAATTATTTCACATTTTCAAAAAAAAATAAAAATGCCTCACGCGTATCGGCACATGCCTTTACGTAATTTCATTTAGTGGATTATCACATCTTTTTAAATATCGAACATTATATACAAGTAACATAAAAAGAGGGCAGAGGAAGACAGACTTTGTGCACTGCCGAACAATTATTGTCACTCATCACTTGTTCAAGCCCATCGGATTCTTTTTTTTTTTTCTTTTAATCAGATTCATACCATTTAATCACTCCTTACTCGTTTAAAAAGCATAAAAAAACCATTGAACTCTTCCTTGCCTTAAACCCATAAAATTGTTAACTTTATGTACTTAGAATCCTCAATCTTTTTGGCTTCCTGCATGATTCCAATTAAAGTTTCTTGAGGGGAAGAAAATTGCTCTCCTTACCTTCAAATCAAATTGAAGTCTAACTAGAACCATAAAACCTACTAATAAGTCACCGTAGGATGATTTGCAATTCCATCCTATGTCAGTTATTAGCAGGACAAGGTATATTGAACTAGAGAGACATAGTCGTGACATAACAAAAATGTTGACATAAGCAATAGTGAATTAACAACAAAGAAAAAGTTATTTACATCAAAATACTACTGGCATCTAAAATTTGACAGGGGTTACACACCAGTAAAATTTGACAGGGGTTACACACCAGTAAGGCAAAGGTGTATATACTACTACATAAGCAGAGTTGGCCGAAGTGGGTTTTTGTCTATGGGGTAGGGGATATGTAACCGGTAGTGCATCTGATGCAATAGCAGCAGCATGTCCTTGTTTCAATTGTTGAGCAGCTCCTTCAAAGGAGGCAACATGTCCTTGTTTCAATTGTTGAGCAGCTTCTTCAAAGGCAGCAGCATTTTGAATTGAGTTCCTAATGATGTTGACATCAATATCAAGATTGTGTTCAACATAGGGGTGTTTTGAAATGAGCAGTCGATCTAACTGTCTTGTTGTGAGAGGCATCTGCTTGGCAATTTCAAGAACAGATTTATTTGGCAATACATAACCAGTACTCTCATCCTCTGCACGTGCCAGCATGTCCCGAAATCCATATAGTCCTGAAACAATGGCAAGCTGCTGAGCATTGAAACCAGCCTCTTGCAATCCATATATACCAAGGTATGAGTTTTTTGTTATAAGTTCTTTCTCATATAGCTTCATGCAGACATTGTAGCTGCGTTTGTAAACCTCCACCAGAGGAGTATCAGAACTTTCAGAATCCTTAGGCAAAGAAAATAACTCAATCCTCATCAAATCATATATATGCAGCAAATAATGAGTATCTTCTCTGGCATATTTTAGCATCTCATCAGGGAAAGGGCGTAGTCTCCAATCAGCAGTACTATATTCTTTGTTTGCAATGACACCACAATAATGATGCAGAAGATACTCCAAAGTGTTCCTCTCCAATTTTAGCATCCTTGAAGCCTGGTGAGTGTCAAACAAATTACACACGTAGATGCCAAAGTCTCGTTGAAGCCACACAATATCTCGATCAGCACCATGCATGACCTTCCTCTTGGAAGGGTCCTTGAACACTTCCCTTAGATAAGACCCAATATGATTGCGAAGCTTCAGAGTGTCAACAACAAAATCTTCAGTCCTTGTTGAGATTTGCATGAGGCAAGTCAAACCTTGGAAAGACCGATACTGATTATGTTCCAAATCAACAGCAAATTCATCCACTGAATGCAGCTTAACAGCCAACTCCTTCAAATCTTTGACTTTCTCAACAAACTTGAAAGGGGTGCTTTCTGTTGAGGGAGGCTTCAATGGCACAACATCCCCAACACCTCTATCAATGAAATCCAAAACAGAAAGCTTTTCCAATGGATGAATAAACCTCTCACCATCAGCACTCTTTTGCAACCAAACATGCTCAAAAGGCACATTAGCGTTGTTAACACGTATGTTGTACTCATCCTGTGGCCTTCTAATCGAAGGTATATGAAACGGAACCTTCTGCTTACGCTTCCCTATCATCATTGCCATTCTTCCTCCTTTCTTTTTCCTACCAAGCGAACACAGAGAAACCTTTCCCCTCTAAATGTGTATTATATCTTCTCCAACACACTGTGTCTCTGTGTATATATATATATATAAGCAGCGTGAAGTTAAGATATGATAAGATATAAGTTTAACATTAAATGCATGAATATCATATATTGATAAGATTTCAAAGAAAATAAAAGATATCGTGTTTTGTTTGCCTCAATACAAAATTTAAAAAAAAGATAACAAATACTATATATATCTTTTCTTGAATCAATATCTGGGTAGATAAGATATCTATAAGTTTAAAATTAAATGCATCTATTTTTAATATCTGATAGTAATAAGATTTCAAAGAAACTAAAAGATTTCAAAGATATTGATATTAAATGCATCTATTTCACACTTCGAACCATTTAAAATATTTCTTCTTTTAATAACTTTTTAAAAATTCGAAATTTAAACTTCATAGAGTGGAAAAAGAGTTCAGCATTAATTGGTGGCAAATATCTATATTAATATCCCACTAATTTTTCAAAATTCAAATATTTTAAACATGATATAGGTGGGAAAAGAGTTCAACATTGTTTGATGGCAGACAGTTGTATTAATATCCCACTATTTTTTACATGAGTAATTGTTAAGCTTATCAATAATACCATTAATTTTTGCATCAAAAATTGTTAAGCTTATTAATAATATTTATTATTATCTGAAAATATGAGAGAACATAGATTGAGGTGATTTGGGTACATAATGGAAAACTCCTAGATGCTCCCGTAAGAACAGAAGTTTGTTACCAAGAACTTGACACGGAGAGAAAGAGGCAGGCCGAAACTTACTTGGAAAAGGTAGTAAAGCAAGACTTAATGGAATGTGATATAGATTGAAGAATTGTTTGTCTCAGGAAGGATTGGAGAAAAACTATTAGCATTGAGGAGGGTTAGACCCGTTTTTCTTCATATGTTCCGAATGATCTATTTTTAATCATTTTCTTGTATTTCACTCTTTCTTTCTTTCTTCACCTCTCCTTTTTTTTTCTTTTTTTCTTCTCCTTCTCTTTCCTCTAAATTATTTTCTTTTATTTATTTATTTATGTATTTTCTCTTTTATCTTTATTTCTTTAATTTTTTAATTTTTATTTTCTTCCTCTTATGTATCTTTATTTTATTTTATTTTGATTATTTTTTGTTATTTTTTTTAATGTAGTGTTATGTGTATGTGTATTGGTAAAGCAAATGGGGAAACTCACCCCCGGCCTCAAAAAAAAAGAAAGAACTAAATACAAAAAAATTATCGCCTAAGTTAGTAGAAGTTGTCTAGGTCTACTCACTGTAGTCATATCTGCTTGAATTAAAAATAAATGAGATTGGCTTCCTGGTGATGGTCCACAACATGATTCGCGAGCCAATTCGCAAAAGTATAACAACCCTCATTAAAAAATATTGAAATTATGCAATATACATAAGGTTGAGTACTAGTTTACACTAAATTTTAGCAAGTAAACTTTCAATGCAAGTTGTTCAGTAATTGAATGAATTAGCATGATAAATAATGTGGTGATACAATTCATGCTAAATGAAGTAAATTGGACCTAAATGGGATTATTGATAAAGTTTATGTGTCAAAGTATAAATATATGAAAATTTAGGGACTAAATTACAAATAAGCAAAATAATGGCCTAAGCTTAACTTTGATTGCTTAATTAAATTCTTTAGAGGATTTTAAAGTCTAGAAGTGGTCTTGGAATTTTCTAATGATGATTAGATTAATTTATAAAACTATGTCAAAATTCAATTGAATATAAGCCAAAGGTATGTTAAATTACATGAAAAGTTAAAGTAATTAAACAAAATTGACTAGTTTGATAATTTAGTCATATTTTTTACTAAATGATTAATTGAATGCTTTCAATTAGTTCATTATACATCTGAATATATGTGTTGGATAATGGACCAATTATATTAATTTAAAAGATTGACTAATTCAAGATGAAAGAAAAGTTAGTAAATAATTAACTAAGTTAATTGTTGAATTATTTCCATGTGTAATTGAATTATTCTCTTCTTGTACATGTCACACCCTTTTCTTTCTTTCCTTCATCCATGTGGGTTGATCATGTTGAAAATATAATGAAAAGAACCAATGAGAACTGGAAAGTGGTTGTTGATCATGTCCACGATTATATCGTCATCCAAGAAATGCAAAAAGATATCTAAAGGGTTGATGGGGTTTGATGTTTAAAAGTGATTGTTGTTGGAGTTAAACTTAAACTAAGTAAAATGCAAAAAGATGGCTTAAAAACCTAATTAAGGTTTTGGCCATATACACTAGAAGGAGTGTATCATGTGTTTGATTTAAAGAGTATATAAAATCATAATCAATATTGTGTATTTAAAAGCTTGGAGTAAATGGATTTAAGTTTAAGTTGAAGACAAATTATGAGTACCTATGCACATAGGGTTTCGGCTATGCATGCTTAAAGGAGTATGTTATGTAATTAATTTTAAGACTTCACGAAATCATAAATAATGATGACTGTGTAAAAGTTTGAAGTGGTTGGACTTGGGTTTGAATAATGACAAATCAGTAATTTCCATACATATATTAATTCGGCCATGGGAAGTAAATGGACTTTGAAATTGAATATTTTAATGTTAAAGTATTCAATGATACTTTTAATAAATAGTTAGATAAAGGGAATGTTCACTGTACATGAAAAAGATATAAAAATCCAAGGAATGCCTATGTATCAATTCGGCTATAAAATGAGCTAGATTGAAAAGAATCATGCGTGATCATCATTTAGTTGATAATGATGAACATTAAGATGACTTAAGTTGATTACAATGATAAATGGATTAATTGGAAACCTAATTTGGTCACTTGGTTAGTAAAGTGGATAATTAGGGTTAATGTAAAAAAGATGTTGTAACAACCTGTTTCTATACACACAAGATGTCACGCACACAATATAGATGCGCACATTAAAGTTACAGATACAGAAGACTTCTAAGTATTCCAACATAGTTATCTTCAAACTACGTGACAATTAAAACCTTTCTTATGTTCCTTTATGCAAAAAGATATAACTATACAATTCCATAATTGTACAGAATTTAAAACTTAACGCAACTTAATTTCCTGTCAAAATACGAACAACATATCATCTATATATTGGACTTACTGAATAATATCCAAACCTGTAATTCAGAAAACAAACATACACTATATATATGTATTTCCAAAGTTCCAACCACACAGCCTTATAACAACATATACTTAGCATCTTTCAGCTTACTAGCATAAGCAAACAGCAATCCAAACATAATTATACAGACTACGGATAAAACTTTATTTATTTATTTACACTAGAATCTCACACCATGATCCTGTAGTTTCGCAGACAACAACAAGGTAACTAGATAATTACTATCCAAGCATCCATCAGACACACTTGACCTGCAGTTTCAGCTAACCTGCTCTTTCTCTTACTTATCCTTTGATGAACCACTATCCGAAGAAGACCCTAAAATATGCCCCATAACGCGGGGTGAGATTTATAATACCAATAAACTAAATGTTTATAGAATATTCTCTCGTTCTCAAGCTCATTTCCTGCATAATTGGTCAGTGTACACAGAATAATAGAAACACGTACAGTTCATGCAAACTTTATTTACAGACAATTTAATTTACTTATTATCTTAGAGTTGATCACACACATACATTACACAACTTGCTGTAATTATTTATTAATTTAAATATTACAATTTTAAAAACATATAAAATGAAATTTTCAACTTACAAACAATTGTACAATAATTATGTAACGCTCGACAACTTCAAGAATCAATGACTGTCTCCACAAACTAACACGAGACTTTTCAGCGTGTTTTGTTCTCACTCACACACTTTCTGGGAAAACTTCTGAGGAGATCACTCATCCCAGAATTGCTCCAAGTCAAGCACGCTTAACTATGGAGTTCTTCAGTTCCGAGCTACCAAAAAGTAGATGCATCTTGTTAGAAAAAAACATTATATTTTGATTATGAAAATTGAATTGGAAATAGACCTCCACTTCTAGATTTTGCTGTTAGATCAGGATGACAAGTAAATTGCAGCAAGATATACTCAAAGCAAGTTTAGAAAGTTACGAAGGTGAAGATATTTTTTTTTGGAGCCTTATGAATTTTAATCAATAAAATTTATATCAAAAGCTTGCTTAGGACTGCATTTCATACATAACATAAATTCTATTTTTGTGTGAAATTTAAAAATAATAATAATGATAAGAAAAGAAAACCTGAATTATTTTTTGGTAAAATGCTGAATTTTGTGTGCTAACTTGATAAATTTCTTTGCATCTTTATTACACTTATATCTGTTATCTGTGAATTCTCTTTTGTAATTTATCACAGCCCTTCATTTCTTTTGTTTAAACGGTCATGATCAGTTTTTCATATCAGGGGCACTATATCTAAAACAACTCTCAATCCCCCAATAAAAAAACAAAAAGAAAAAGAAAGAAAAGAAAAAGTGAGAACCCTAAAGGAGCTATCGAGAGAAAAGAAAAACCCTGAGCAAGAAGAAGATTATGAGAAAGAGAGATAGTAAAAATTCATGAAAGCATACAAGTAGTTCATCTGGAGATCCACATGAATTTTTCTTTAAATCAAGAGAAATAGGAGAAGTTTGAAAGTGATCAACCTTGCGACATAGTGAAGGCATCAAGATCAAGATTCATGCAAAGTGGGCAAATCAAGAGGCAATTTATTTTCTTTTTCTTAAAGATTTGTTTTGAGGCAGGTTGATTCAGGCAAGGAAGGCTATTTTTGAAAATAAATCTGAATAAATCCTTGTCATATATTTGATCGCTTCAAGCTCCCAGGTGAAATCTAATCAAATCGTTTGAAAAATCCTAACCTGCTTGTTTTTCAGCAATTCCTAGTTTAAATTTTTTGTGTCTGCTGAAAACATCTTGTAAGCCTGAGTTCGT